CATTGCACTCTTCCACATTGTAAAGAGGGCTGTGGAAGGATTTAAAAGTTGTGCCTCTTAAGAATCACTCCTTGAGCTCCAGGTCTGTAAGAATAACATTCCCTAAATCTCAGTGCCTGATTTTAGATTTTCTTCGTGGATCATAAAATGTTTAATTCTGGAAGCTAACCTCAGAACAGTGGACGTACATTGGTCTAGAAGCCAGATCAGTGTTTCTTATGTAATCTTGAACTACAGCAGACCTCTCCCTGACATTGAAAATCCATTGACATAGAATATCTAGTTGATATTTATGTCTGAGAGAATAACATCTATTTTGGACTTTTTTTTCTTAACTACCTTACTCCTAGCCCTGGCCAGTGTGGCTCAGTTGGTTGGGCGTCATCCCATTCACCAAAAGGTTTCCAGGTCAATTTCCAGTCAGGGCATGTGCCTGGGTTGAGGGCTTGATTCCTGATAGGGGGCTTGTAGGAGGCAGCCGATTCATGTTCACTCTCATATCCATGTTCCTCTCTTACCCTTTTCTTCTCCCTTCCCCTCTCTCTGAAAATCAATAAAAAACCTTTTTAAAATAACAACAAAAAAACAAAAATTCCTAAATACCTTCCATCTGGAAATTTCAGTTGATGAGGAAAGATAGATATGCAGTAGTTCACTGAGCTATAAGAAAAATTCACACGGTTTTCAGCTGGTGTTTTTATTTTTTCCCCCCTTAATATTATATTGTTAGTTTTTTCTTTTTCCTTGTGCTTTTGATTTTTAAGGAATATTTAAATCAACCATGGATTAAATGATCTTTTATTTCGATCACGTAAGAATATAAGAAAATAGACGACAATGTGATAATGGTAATCTTAATTACATTTCAGTTTTCCTAAACAGCTCTGGGAAGTGTGACAAAGATGCAACACATAGGCACACGCACATACATACACATGCAGACATACACACAGACTGTGTAACAATTACTCCATGTTTCATGCTTAATGTTAATAAAACCTTTCATGACAAAACAGAGTAACATGAATCTTCAGTGGTGTTAATAGGTAGATAATTTAAAGGGAAGAAGCTTGAATGCTGTCATATTCTACTGCCTCTAATTTTATGTCTCTAATCTTGGCCTTGGCAACCAAATAACCCAGGTTGTTACAATTATGTGTAACAACTTTTTAACTTCCTAATTCTCAGCTTTAAGCCAAAAAAAAAAGGCCACCAAAGGTTGAATTATTGATAATGAAGGTAACTTATATAGCAATTGATATTTATGATGAGCCTAACCTTTCGAATCACAAAAAATTTGAGTAATATCTGATAACATTTTACTTAGAATTTATTTTTATTCTTTGAAAGTGCATAATGTATAAAATAAAATTTCCAGAGCATTCGGTTAAATAGAATTGCATTATGAAAAATTAGTCAAAGAGAATTTATTATAGTTTGGAAAATATTTTGATATGTATATCTTGCAGTAAGATTTTTAAATATTTCAGTATTTCATAGATGTGAAATACATTGGAACAAACACAAATGTTTTTAATAAGAAGCTTTATATATGTAAGCTTTATATATAAGCTTTATACACATATATAAATGCTCTTAAATGCCTACCCCTACCCTATAATTGAGTTATTGCTTTAATATTTACCTATTGCTTGTGAAACTTATGAATCTAAGTTTTTTGGCAGTTGGGCACATTTTAAACAAACCTACACACACATAGAGAGAGAGAGTGTGTGTGTATGCATGTATATGTATAAATATATATGTATGTGTATATATATTTTGAACATTAAAATAGTGTCTTTGCAAAAAATGAAAGGAAGTAAACTTGCAAAAATAGACTGCTTATCAAATTCCACTTTAAAATCAAAGTTTACCCTTTTGCAAATTGGTGTTCTTTCCTTTGCTCTAAGATTCCCCATCCATGGTAAGTGTGAAGCCATTTGAAATTAATATAAATTCTTTTCAAAGTAGAAACTATTTCAGATGCTTATTTTTATGTAAAAGTATTACATATTTTATTTAAAATAGATAATGCTCAGGACGTACAATGATCAAATGTATTTCTCTTCATACCCTTTTGATATCTAGTAAGATTCTTTATTTGTGGTAGGCACTCAAGTGGTTAAATGAATGTACTTTCTTATCTAAAGTGGATATATTAATATTAATTAAACTATTACCTAAAAACTACTTTCAAACTGAATTATGAAGTATAATTGTGAATTATATTTATATTATAAATTAATTTACACTATTGTGCTTAGGTGTTTTTAGTATATGTGAATGTCTCCATTAAAGTGTTATTAAATTATGTGTGAGCATTTCCTGAAACCTATAATATCAGTACAGTAGAAAAATAGATTGGCTCTAGAAAGCTGCAAACATTTTACTTTTTATTTTGCAGAATGGTTTCACCCCATTGTACATGGCAGCCCAGGAAAACCACCTGGAAGTTGTCAAGTTTCTTCTTGACAATGGTGCCAGCCAGAGCCTAGCCACAGAGGTAAGACACGTGGGTTCTTTCTGTGGGGAAGTTTGCATGTTTATAGGGCATTTTGTAACCCTGGAGTTGTAACATTTAACATTTATCTCACTGGTATTTTAATTGCAATTATATATTAGTGTGTGGGTTCATACATTGTTATGAAATACATTAGAAAATCTTTTTTTAATTATTAAGAATTTTCCATTGCATAGATACACTTTCTGCTCTTAAATGCCTACCCCTACCCTATAATTGAGTTATTGCTTTAATATTTACCTATTGCTTGTGAACACTTTTCTGTTTTTATCATTTTGCTTTGAAGACCACCACTGATTTGAAATATTTTTGTGGTAGAACATAAGTTCTGAATCAGTTTTTTTTCCAAGTTTAATTTAGCATAATAATATTTGAGTGTATAGATTTCTAAAGTCACCTAATTGGATTAAATTCATACATTCAAACAATACTATTACACATTTATAAGTAATAAATAAAATTGTTTTTTAACTCTTTGCATCCATGAAGA